AGCAAAATAAATCTTTTTTTTTTTTTAAAGAAGTTCTCTCCTCTGAAGGGAGGAGAGAACTTCCACTTTGATTATGGCCTTGTCTAAATAAGGTCAGAGTTTCTGATCTTAAGAGGCTTCCAGGGCCGCTGCCGCGGCTCAATAGGCTAATCCTCTGCCTAGCTGTGCCAGCACACCAGGTTCTAGTCCTGGTCGGGACGCCGGATTCTGTCCCCGTTGCCCCTCTTCCAGGCCAGCTCTCTGCTGTGGCCAGGGAGTGCAGTGGAGGATGGCCCAAGTGCTTGGGCCCTGCACCCCATGGGAGACCAGGAGAAGTACCTGGCTCCTGGCTTCGGATCAGCGCGGTGAGCCGGCCGCAGCGTGCCAGCCGTGGTGGCCATTGGAGGGTGAACCAACGGCAAAAGGAAGACCTTTCTCTCTGTCTCTCTCTCTCTCACTGTCCACTCTGCCTGTCAAAAATAAAAATAAAAAAAAAATTTAAAAAATAGTCTTCAAACAGTACTTTATACTTTGTGTATCTGTGTGGGTGCAAACTGTTGAGATCTTTACTTAGTATATACTAAGTTGATCTTCTGTATATAAAGATGATTAAAAATGAATCTTAATGAAGAATGAGATGGAAGAGGGAGTAGGAGATGGGATGGTTTGCGGGTGGGAGGGTGGTTATGTGAGGAAAAACTGCTATAATCCAAAAGTTGTACTTTTGAAATTTATATTTATTAAATAAAAGTTTTCTAAAAAAAAAAAGAATCTATGTGGGAGTGAATTGTACAGAATATAAATACAAGTTGTATAACAAGTTCAGAGCCACTTTTGGAAATTAGCTACCATACAATCACAACTAATTTATTTGTTTCCTTGCCAGAGACATATTTTAAAATAATGTTAAATAAGTAGTCTTTAAAAGCCAAATAAAGGGACAACTGTTTGGCCTAGTGGTTAAGATGCTAGCAAGGATTCTCAAATATCAGAACACTTGTGTTTTGAGTCCTGCCTCTGCTCTCGATTCCAGCTTTCGCTTATGAAACACCCTGAGAGACAGCAGGTTGAGTTTCTTCCACCCACATGGGGGAACTGAATTGAGTTCCTGGCTCCTGGCCCAGCCTAGTCTTGGCCACTGTGTGCATTTGGAGGTGAACCAGAAGATGAGGCCTCTGTCTGTCTGTCTTACTCTCTATCTCTCAAATTGTTTTTTAAATGCCAAACAGAGATCAAAGCAAAATAGATTAAGCTTTTTTTTTAAGAGCTATGCTGTAGATTCTTGCATAAGTTATCTTTTCTTCCTTCTGCATAGCCAGTATGCAACTTTGTGGTTGTTTATTGTAGTTTTTAAAGAACCTACTCTCTTGCCTCATTAGAACCTTGTTATAGCTGGGCAGCAAATTACCTACCTTGGTTTATGAAGATGTTTTTGTATATTTTTATTAATTCTTTAAATTTCAAGGATTGGGTGAAATAATCAAATCTGGTTCTTTCAATGTCATGAATTGAAATTGTAATGGCTTTTTTGAGGTATAATTTATATACTATAAAATCCAGACATTTAAAGTATGCAGCTTAATAGTTTTTTTTAATATTTATTTATTTATTTATTTGAAAGTCAGAGTTACACAGAGAGAAAAGGAGAGGCAGAGAGAGAGAGAGAAAGATCTTCCATTCCCTGTATCCAACTCCCCAGTTGGCCGCAATGGCTGGTGCTGCTCCGATCTGAAGCCAGGAGCCAGGAGCTTCTTCTGGGTCTCCCACGTGGGTGCAGGGTCCCAAGGACTTGGGCCATCTTCTACTGCTTTCCCAGGCCATAGCAGAGAGCTGGATTGGAAATGGAGCTGCTGGGACTGGAACCAGTGCCCATATGGGATGCTGGCGCTGCAGGTGGTGGTTCTACCTGCTACACCACAGCTTCAGCCCCATATTTTTTATTCTGTTTACAAAGTTTACAAACATCACTTAAATCAATTTTGGAGTGTTTTCATCATCCAAAAAGAAAATATCTTACTTATTTGTAGTCATTCTACCACTTCCACCCCCAGTCCAAGTATAACTAATTTATTTTCATTGTTTATAGATTTGCCTATTCTGGGCAGTTCATATAACTGGAATCATATAAGAGTGGTCCTTTGTTACCACATTCTTTCACTTAGCAAAGTATTTTCAACATTTATCCATGTTACAGCATGTATCAGTGCTTTGTTCCTTTTTATGGTCAAATAATACTCCATTATCGAATATACCACATTTTGTTTATCAGTCACCTGTCCATGGGCATGTAGATGGTTTATACTTTTGGCTATTATTAATAATGTTGCTATGAACATTCAAATACCTGTTTTTGTGTGGTCAGATGTTTTTATTTCTCTTGGGTAAATACCTGTATCCATTAATTGATTTTTTTTGACAGGCAGAGTTAGACAGTGAGAGAGAGACAGGGAGAAAGGTCTTCCTTCCATTGGTTCACCCCCTAAATGGCTGCTACAGCCAGCGCTGCGCTGATCCGAAGCCAGGAGCCAGGTGCTTTCTCCCAGTCTCCCATGCGGGTGCAAGGCCCAAGGACCTGGGCTATCCTCCACCGCCTTCCCGGGCCACAGCAGAGAGCCAGACTGGAAGAGGAGCAGCCGGGACAGAATCTGGCGCCCCAGCCAGAACCAGAACCCGGGGTGCTGGCGCCGCAGGCAAAGGATTAGCCAAGTGAGCCACGGCACTGACTACTTTTGCAGTTTTAAAAACAAAAATTGTTTAAAGACAATTTTAAAATGTGTGAAGTCAACCTCAATTGAGTATGTTTCCTAATTTAAATGCTTTCTTATATTATCAAACAATACACTAAGCTGAAAAATAATGGTTTGACCCTGCTTCCTTGCTGTCTATGTTTTAGATTAACTGAGGAAACAGAGATTGCTGACTTAAGATCTAAATAGTACTTTAGTTATTCTTTTCCACTTTACAAATCAGGAGAGAGAATTTCCTGGGCAAAAAGATCCATGCTTTTACCAAAACTGATCTCAAGACAGATACTAACAATATTCAATTTTCCAATCTACAAAGAGTTACTTTTATTTTTCTATTGATGATTGAGATCTGTTATGCTAAACATGTCTAACTAAATTTCTTTTTGACCTTTAAAGTCTTTTTGATTGTATCCTAAAGAAACTTGTTAATTAGCATCTTGCCAAAGATCCTGTCTCATTTCTGTAAGCTTATTTGGCATTCCATTTTAATTTATTACCTCTGGAATTAGTAATTACATGATTTCTTGGATGACTCCAATCTTAAATAATGATGTCTCTTGAATAAGGCTTGCTCTATTTATAGAGCATAAAGAGAAATTACATTTTTAAGAAACAGCGGGATTACTATAAATGACAAAGTGTACTCTAGAAATTATCTTCTGGCCTAATATTTCTTGCTTTATTAATTTTTCTGGTCAAAAGAAAAGGAGTACAGAATAATGAGCTTATGAGGCCCTTGTCTTGGCTTATGCTCACCCATACATGTAACCACTCACTAAAGTCTAAAAAGGATACATTTTCTGGTTTTCAGGAAACCTGTAGCCTTTATTTTTTTTTATTTATTTATTTTTTTTGACAGGCAGAGTGGACAGTGAGAGAGAGAGACAGAGAGAAAGGTCTTCCTTTGCCGTTGGTTCACCCTCCAATGGCCGCCGTGGCCGGCGCGCTGCGCTGATCCGGTGGCAGGAGCCAGGTGCTTCTCCTGGTCTCCACTGGGGTGCAGGGCCCAAGCACTTGGGCCATCCTCCACTGCACTCCCTGGCCACAGCAGAGGGCTGGCCTGGAAGAGGGGTAACCGGGACAGAATCCGGTGCCCCGACCGGGACTAGAACCCGGTGTGCCAGCGCCGCAAGGCGGAGGATTAGCCTAGTGAGCCGCGGCGCCGGTCGAAACCTGTAGCCTTTAATTAACCAACTTATAAATACCTGCAGGGTAATAAATGCCATGCTGATGACTGTGTGTGTGTGTGTGTGTGTGTGTGCGTGTGTGTCTAACAGCTTTATTGACATACAGTTCATCTATTGTACAATTCACCATCATAAAGTATACAATTCAGGGTGGGTGTTTGGTGCAGCAGTTAAGGCTTATCTTACATCCCATATCAGAGTACCTCCATTCAAGTCATGTTTCCATTTCTGATTCCAGCTTCCTGTGATCGCATACTCTGGGAGGCACCAGATGAAGGCTCAAATACTTGAGTCCCTACCACCCTCATGGGAGACCCAGACTGAGTTCCCATCTCCTGGTTTCACCCACATGTGGGCATTTGGGGAGTGAAGCACTGAAGAGAGAATCTGTGTCTGTCTCTCTGTTTTTCAAATAAATAAAAATAACTTTAAAACCATTAAATTAAAAACACATGAAGTATACAATTCAGTGGTCTTTAGTATATTTGCAAAGTTTTATAACCATCACCACAACTTTAGAATATTTTCATCATACCAAACAGAAACCCAATACCTATTAGCTATCATTCCTTTTTTCTCCTCAACTCCTAGAGACCACTAATCTATTTTCTGCCTCTGTGAATTTGCCTATTCTGAACATTTCATATAAATAGTGTTTATAATATGTAGCCTTTGTGTCATACTTTTTCAGTTTGCATAATGTTTTCTAAGTTTATCCAGGTTATAGCATGTAATTGGTACTTCATTTCTTTTTGTGGCTTAATAGTATTCATATTCATTGTGTGGATGTCAGTTTGTTTATCCATTTTTCAGTTGATGGACATTTGGTTGTTTGTATTTTTTGATTATTGAAAACAATGCTGTTATGAACATTCATGTGCAAGTTTTTGTGTGGATGCTTTTATTTCTGTTGGGTGTACACTCAGGAGTGGGACTGCTGAGTTATGAGCTAACTCTACATTTAACCTTTTAGAGGAACTGCCAGACTGTTTTCCAAAGTGTCTGAACCATTTTACTTCAGGGCTGCATATAATATCTACTTGGTCTGGAATTAATTTATGTTCTATTTGAGTATGGCCTTAGGAGCATGCTTTTTCTGTTCAGGTAGGACACTTCTGTGAAAAACTCTCTCTATACAGTCATGTACTACATAACATTTCAGTCAATGACATCTGCATCAACAATATATGTGGGGAGCAATCCGGACTGGACTAAGTTACTGGAATTAAGACTTATTCTATGCATCTGCTCTCCCACAATATGGCGCTGGGAGAAAAGAAAACAGCTTCTACGCAGCTGCCTCCAGTTCAACCAATAAACTGTGGGACCTGCTCCTGATTGGAGGAGAGCAGCGTACTCGGCGTGTGGGCAGCCGAGTTGGGATTGGCGGAGGAGGACTATAAAGGAGGAGAGAGACGGCATGCACCAGGAACATCTAAGGGGAACACCTGTGCAGCCCCCGAGAGAGCCGGCCGGCGGTGTGCCGCTCCCCTGCGGAAGTGGGGAATGTGGCCAGGGGGAACTGCCCTTCCACGGAGGTGGAAGGGACAGTAGCCAACCTGGGAAGAACCAGCAGCAAACCCGGGGAGGGCCGAGCAGACAAAAGAACAGCGCAGGGTCCTGTGTCGTTCCTCCACGAAGAGGGGGAGCGACAAATATACAACAGCAGTCCTGTCAGATCATAATGGAGAAAAAAAAATTCCTGTTGCCTAGTGACATCATAGCCATTGCAGCATCATAGCACCATGCTTTACTGATGCATTTTTTAAAAGATTTTATTTATTCATTTGAAAGGCAGAGTTAAAGAGAAGCAGAGGCAGAGAGAGAGAGGTCGTCCATCCGCTGGTTCACTCCCAAATGGCCGCAATGGCCGGATCTGGGCCCATCGAAGCCAAGAGCCAGGAGCTTTCTCCAGGTCTCCCATGTGGGTGCAGAGGTCCAAGGACTTGAGCCATCTTCCACTGCCTTCTCAGGCCATAACAGTGAACTGGATCAGATGTGGAGCAGCTAGAACTCAAATCAGCGCCCATATGGGATGCCAGCACTGCAGGCTGGGGTCCCAACCCACTGTGCCAGCCCGTACTCATATTTGTGATAATGCTAGTATAAACAAATCTATACTGCACTGACTGTCATATAAAAATATAACACACACAATTATTTATAGTACATAGTACTTGATAATGATAATAAATAACTATGTCACTGGTTGTTAATTTACTATACTCTATCACATTATTTTAGTTTTTAAGTATTTAATTGCCTAGAATGAATTCCCTCTATTTATAAAAGATGTGCTGCAAAACAGTAACTGTTATGTTGTCGGAAGCCTCATGCATCTCATATTTGCTACATCTCTTAATTGCATAATTTTCTCTTATGGTTAAATTAAACTCATGTTGTTTTATCATGGTAAAGATGAGCGACAGACTATCCAGACTATTTGAAGGAAGCTTAAAAAGCTTGTGGAAAGTAGAATTAGAAGATAAGTTTTGTGTAAATTTTTTAAAATTTTTTGCTTTTTAAATTGATATAAAGGGGCCGGTGCCGCGGATCAATGGGCTAATCCTCTGCCTTGCGGCACCGGCACACCAGGTTCTAGTCCTGGTCGGGGCGCCAGATTCTGTCCCGGTTGCCCCTCTTCCAGGCCAGCTCTCTGCTGTGGCCAGGGAGTGCAGTGGAGGATGGCCCAAGTGCTTGGGCCCTGCACCCCATGGGAGACCAGGAGAAGCACCTGGCTCCTGCCTTTGGATCAGCACGGTGCGCCGGCCGCAGCGCACCGGCCGCGGTGGCCATTGGAGGGTGAACCAACGGCAAAAGGAAGACCTTTCTCTCTGTCTCTCTCTCTCACTGTCCACTCTGCCTGTCAAAAAATAAAAAATTAAAAAAAAAATTAAAAAAATAGTATAAAGGGAACAAATTTCATATATACTAAGAGCCTCCCTCCCATTCTCCCTCCTTCTTCTCAAAACAGTTTTTAAATCCATGTGTAGGTTTTCCATAATATGTGTGTTCCATGAAGATTTTGAATACCCCTCATATACATGAATTGCAAACTTTGTTTTTAATGTATTTATTTATTTGAAAGGCAGCTATAGAGAGAGGTGGGGAGCAGGGACAGAAAGAAAGATCTGTCCACTGTTTCAGTCCCCAAATGGCTGGAACAGCCAGGAGTAGGCCAGGTGGGAGCCAAGAGTCTGGAACTCCATATGGGTCTTCCACATGGGTAAAGAGGCCCAAGTACTTCTGCTGCTTTCTCAAGCACATTAATAGGAAGCTGGATTGGAAGTGGAACAGCTGGGACTTGAACTGGTGTCCATATGGGATGCCAGTGTTGCAGGCAGTCACTTAACCCACTGAGCGACGGTGCTGGCCCTGCAAAAATTTTTATACCAAAATTAGTTTAATTCTGTTTCTACAGTTTTAAGCAGAAACTAAACTTCCAATCACTGGTTCACTCCCTCAGTGCTCATAAGGCTGTGACTGGGCCAGCAAAGCCAGGAGCCAGGTACTCAAATCAGGTGTCACGTGTAGGTGGCAGGAACCCAATTACCTGAGCCATCACTGCTGCCTCCCCAGGTCTGCATTAGTTGGAAACTGGAATAAAGAGCCAGGAATCAAACCCAAGCACTGTGATGTGGAACAGCGGTTTCTTAACTGCTCACTCTTCCACAGATTTTCTGAAATACTTTTGTATGTATAATATGTAACCTAGATGTATAGCAGGCCATACCATTAGATTTATCTAAGTATACTATTATATTTGTACAACTACAAAATCTCCTAATGATACAACTCTTAGAACATGTCCCTATCATTAAATGAAGTGCTATTATATTATGATTTGAATTAGACAATCTCACAGAGTGTAAGTTTTTCAACAGTTTTGGAAATGATTAGCATTCTTTGTTCTAGAAGGGATAAAAATGACTGTTTATCCAGTTTCTAACATTTGAATAGCATTTCCCTGTTCTTACCCTAGGAAACTAAGTAGGCCTTGGGAATAGATGAAGCAATGCATAGTGGTATAAACCAAAGAGCATTGAATATGTCTTTCTGTCTCAACTTAGGCTGCATAACAAAATACCATATTTTGAGTGGCTTAAACAACAAAAATTTATTTTTTATAGTTCTAGAGGCTGGGAAGTTCAACATCAAGTTGCTAGTTGATGGGGTGCCCTGGTGAGGACTTTCTTCCTGGCTTGCAGATGGCCACCTTCTTACTGTATCTTCGCATGGGGTAGGAGAAAGGATTGAGATATGGTCTTTCTCATTATGAGAATCTCATTATAGATTTTTCATAATCTCATTATGAGAGCCCCACCACATAACCTCATATAGACCCAGTTACCTCCCAAAAGCCCCACCTCCAAAAACTAACAGACTAGGGGTCTGTTAGGGTCATGAAGTCAACATGAATTTTACAGGAGAAGACATTAAATCCATAGTACCTTCTATACACAAGAAAATGCCAGGATTCAACACCATTTAAAAAAAAAAGGAAGAAAGAAAATTCTTCATTTTATTTACAATAGCAACCTTGGTCACAGAAGTTAGAAGTTCATATGCACTAGTAAATTTTTACTGGAGTCACACCTTAGCACAAGCCACTTTTTTTTTCTTTTAAGATTTATGTATTTATTTGAAAGGCAGAGTGACAGAGAGAGAGAGGGAGAGGCAGAGAGAAACTTTCCATCAGTTGATTCACTCCACAAATGGCCACGATTGGGCCACACCAAAGCCAGGAGCCAGGAACTCCATCCTGGTCTCCTACATGGGTGGCAAGGGCCTTGGCTATCTTCTACTGCCTTCTCAGGAGCATTAGCAGGAAACTAGATCAGAAGTAGAGCAGCCAGGACTCAAACTGGCACTGTGATATGGGATGCCCTTGTCACAAGTGACAGCTTAACCCATGGCACCAGCACTGTGGCAAAGTTAGTTAAGTTGTCACCTGGGATACCAGCATCCTATATGAGCACCAGTTTGAGTGAGTCTCTGCTGCTCTGTTGTAGATCCAGCTTCCTGCTACTGCCCCCTGGGAAAGCAGAGGAACACCGCCACACACATAGAGGACCTGGGTGGAGTTTCAGACTCCTGGATTTGGCCTGGCCCCCCCTGGCTATTGCAGCCATTTAGGGAGTGAACCAGTGGCTGAAAGATCTCTCTCTCTCTCTCTTTCTAACTCTGTCTTTCAAATGCATAAATAAATAAATAAATCTTTTTTTTTTTTTAAATCAGTTGATTAGGCCGGCGCTGTGGCTCAATAGGCTAATCCTCCGCCTGGCCTGCGGCGCCTGCACCCCGGGGTTCTAGTCCTGATAGAGACACCAGAATTCTGTCCCGGTTGCCCCTCTTCCAGGCCAGCTCTCTGCTATGGCCCGGGAGTGCAGTGGAGAATGGCCCAAGTCCTTGGGCCCTGCACCCACATGGAAGACCAGGAGAAGCACCTGGCTCCTGGCTTCGGATCAGCGCAGTGCGCCAGCCGCAGCAGCCATTGGAGGGTGAACCAATGGCAAAGGAAGACCTTTCTCTCTGTCTCTCTGTCTCTCTCTCTCTCTCTCTCTCTCACTGTCCACTCTGCCTGTCAAAAAAAAAAAAATCAGTTGATTCCTTTTTTTTTTTTTTTGACAATTTATTTATTTGAAAGAATTAGTGAGAGAGAGAGAGAGAGAGAGAGAGAGAGATGTTCTATCCACTGGTTCACTCCCTAGATAGCCACAAGAGCCACTGCTGGGGCCAGGCTGAAACCGGGAGCCAGGAGTCCCTTCCAGGTCTCCCACAACGATAGCAGGGGCCCACATACTTGGGCCATATTCCAGTGCTTTTTCCAGGAGCGTTAGCAGGGAGCTGGATTGGAAGTGGAATAGCCTGGACTTGAACTGGTGTCCATGTGGGATGCCAGCATCACAAGTGGCTGCTTTACCCACTATGCCACAATACCTGCTCCACAAATAAATCAAGAGAGAGAGAGAGAGAGAGAGGGAGAGAGAGGAAGCAAGCAAAGAAAGGAAGGAAGAGAGGGAGGGAGGGAGGGAGGGAAGGAAAGGAAGGAAGGAAGGAGGGAAGGAAGGAAGGAGGGAAGGAAGGAAGGAAGGTAGATGACTGAAGAAATTAAGTAATTTACTGGAGGTCATTTAATGGTTTGCATGTGGAGAGCTGGGATTTTAACCCAAATATATTTGATTTCAAAGAATCAGAGCATCCTCTTTCTATCCTGAAGAGAGCGGACCCTAGTGAGAATCGGCCGGGAGGAGGGAATAGAGAGAGTAGACGTGTGTGCCAAAGCCAAACTTGGTTTTCTCCGTAAATTTTTTTTCTTGTCTCTGGATGTCACAAGCACTTGCTGACAGCCCCCTCCTACCCACAATGGTTCAGCTGTGCAGAAGTGCTAATGAGTCCCTAAATGCTTTCTGGCTTAGTGGAGCTACTGTACTTGACTAAGTTAGGACTCGAGCAACTGCTGTCTGGGCCACACGCACTCCAGCAAAACTTCCTTATTTGGAAGAGTCTTTTCCATCGTGTTTGGGCAGAAAGAATACCATCTCACATTTAAGAAAAACAAAATGCCTTGACCTACATCAGAACAGGCACTTGAAAACATAAAACAAAGAAACACTGAAAAATCAAGTCTATTTCTGCTTTGCTTGGAAGTGGAAGGTGGTGGGGATGGGGAAATATTTCACCAGAAAGCTAAAACAACATTCCTGAGTCCCTTGCTCTTTAACCCCAGAAGATATTCTAATCAACAATCAGCTTTGTTTCTCAGTTGTATGAAATTTAGCGATTTTGAGTGGAATTAAGAAAATAAACATTTTGGCCGGCGCTGCGGCTCAATAGGCTAATCCTCCACCTAGTGGCGCCGGCACACCGGGTTCTAGTCCCGGTCGGGGCGCCAGATTCTGTCCCGGTTGCCCCTCTTCCAGGCCAGCTCTCTGCTGTGGCCCGGGAGTGTAGTGGAGGATGGCCCAAGTGCTTGGGCCCTGCACTCCATGGGAGACCAGGAGAAGCACCTGGCTCCTGCCTTTGGATCAGCGCGGTGCGCCGGCCACAGCGCACTGGCCGCGGCGGCCATTAGAGGGTGAACCAACGGCAAAGGAAGACCTTTCTCTCTGTCTCTCTCTCTCTCTCTCTCTCACTGTCCACTCTGCCTGAAAAAAAAAAAAAAAAAAAAGAAAAGAAAAGAAACATTTTTAAATTGTGTGTGTCAAAGCTAGCTTGAGTGGCAGCATATATTTTTTCAGATGTGTTCTAGCATTGTTTCTAACACCTTGAGTAGAGGCCACACTTGTATTTAAAAAGAAGAACTAAGTAGATTTTTGCAGGGTAGGCCAGTGGGGTCAACCTGAGTGTCCACTCCTGTCACTCCTGAAACTACCTAAGAGTGACTTGGTAAAAAGATGCAGAGACCTTAAGTCAAGGTTCAGCTCTGCCACCAACTTGCTGTGTGAACTTGGGTAAATCACTTACCCTCTCTGGGCTTCACTTAACCTTCACTTTGCCTTCTGTATAGAGAAGTTGACTAAATGACCTCCAGGAGCCTTGGCATTCTATTTTATGATTTCCATGAATGTAGAAAGGGCTTATCCAGGCTGAAGTGGAAGTCATGGATTTCCAGTGCCCTCTGGACCCATTCCTCGTTTCCTAATTTTCCTCTTGGTCCCCTTACCCCCTTAGCATTTCTGGAACTAGGGCTTGGTGTTGCTTCCTGGCTTCCAGAAGCGACCTCCTAAATGCCCACAGGTATGCAAAGCATAAAAAGACCATGCTTTCCATCATACTTCTCAGGTCCTGTCTGTGCCATGATCTGCTTCCCCCAGAGTCTGCTCTCCACCACCTGGCCCTGGGTGATGATGGATTAAGTCAGATAAAATAACCTTCACTAATGTTTGCTAACATCTCATCTCCCCATCACAAAAATACTGTACCTTAAGGATAATCAAAATATACATGGTTCACCCTTAAAGGTCCTAACATTTATGTGGAGAGTGTTGATTGAATGGGCTTCCCGTGAGCCTCAAACGGCATGAAGTTTGGCTGCCTTTGCTGATCAGGGAACCTTAGGGAAGTCATGTTATCTTGGCAGGAATACTGTAAACTCAAGATGGAGATTTTGTTTCCCTCTGCATTAATCTGCAGCTAATGCCAGTGAACATTATCCTTGTTTAATTACATTCACTAACCCACTGACACAACTTCCCCTGGGAAGAAGCGTATCCGACTCTGACTCATGCTTTACAGCAGGTTGGATTTGAGGAAATGGATAATATACGCCCCGCTGGCTTTGGAATTTTAAACAGAAACCCACATGCTGCTGCGTCTCCGGCTTACTCCCAAATATGGGAGAATGTGTGCCCCAGCCTTGGTTGGAGGAGGCATGCTCAGTGTGACAAAAGGCAAAACCCACATAGTGTGTGCTGAGCCAGGCAGGGAGAGCCAGAGCCAGCAGCCACTTAAAGGAGAAAGAACAACCACAGGAAAGGGGGGGGGGGGAGGCAGACACTCATCAGGACCCTTTTCTAGAGTTGTCTTGATGGCTCATTCAAGCATGATGCTGAATGTCTTAGTGAAAGTAAAACACACTCCCAGAGCAGGGACCAAAGAGGGGTCAACTTCAGCAGTGAGCGTCGATGCAGGGTGTCGTCAGAACAGGATATGAAACCATACGAACCTTGTGCTGAGCTGCTTGGGTCACCCTGGCCACAGCTTATAGTAAGAAACTCTCTGGTAGTCAGTAGGCCCCGGGATTCTCTGAGAAATAGATCTGTCCCCAGAGTAAAGCAGTTGTGGTAATTGCTCTGAGGGGGTGGGGCAGTTCCCAGAGCAAGAAGAGACAGCTCCTCAGCTGGAAGCCAAAAAGGCTAACACTCCACTTCAGACCTCAACACCATGCTAAGCACCTCCCTACTTCTGCTCAAAACCCACAACCCCCCCACCCCACCCCAATGCTCCACTCCACGTGCCCTCTACAAGCTCTGTTCCCGCCAGGGCTGTCCTTTGGTTTCATTAAAAAAAAAACTTTATTGTTTTTATTTCTTAAGCAATATATGTACACTGGAAAACAAACAATATAGAAATGTTGCAGCAACAGCTCCAATTTGGAGAGTTCTTTACATAAGATACTGTACTAAAGCACTTAATGTGCATCCTTTTATTCAAACTTTCCAATATTCCTATGAAGTGGGTAGTTTATCCCCATTTATAGGTAATGTAAGAGAGACGGGCACCAGTTTAGAAAATTAAAGTTCTTATAGGTGATATAAGCTTGCTCAAATTCACATATCTGCTACATGGCTAACCTGCAATTTAAACCCAAATGGTGGCCGGCGCTGCGGCTCAATAGGCTAATCCTCCGCCTTGTGGCGCCGGCACACCGGGTTCTAGTCCCGGTCGGGGCGCCGGATTCTGTCCCGGTTGCCCCTCTTCCAGGACAGCTCTCTGCTGTGGCCAGGGAGTGCAGTGGAGGATGGCCCAAGTGCTTGGGCCCTGCACCCCATGGGAGACCAGGAGGAAGCACCTGGCTCCTGGCTTTGGATCAGCACGGTGCACCGGCCACAGCACGCCAGCTGTGGCGGCCATTGGAGAGTGAACCAACGGCAAAAGGAAGACCTTCTCTCTGTCTCTCTCTCTCTCACTGTCCACCCTGCCTGTTTAAAAACAAACAAACAAACAAATGGTCACTCTATAAAGGCTGTGGAGAAATATCAACTTCATTCCACTAGCAAAGATTATTTTTCTTCCAGATCTCTCTGGGTTGTTTTTTGTTTTTTGGATTTTTTTCTTTTGTTTTAATTTACTTGAAAGGCAGAGATACACAGAGATAGAGAGAAGGTGACAAATACAGGAAGATCTCCCATCCTGTGTTTCAGTTCCCAAATCCTGGAACACCTGGTGTGGGGCCAAGCAGAAGTCAGGAGCCCAGAACTCAATTTGGATTTCCTACTTGAGCCATTATCTGCTGCCTCCCAGCGTGCGCATTATCAGGCAGAAGCAGAGAATGGACTCAAGTCCAGGCACTCCAACATGGGATGTGGGTGTCCTGAGTAGCGTTCTAACCACGGCACCGAAGACCCATCCCCCAGTCTTTTCTTTATACACATACATGTGATGTTTATTTTATCCTGATTTTAAAAAATCTACAATTGGCTGGGCTTTGGGAAAGAGGGAACATGCCATGCAATGTAGTTTATCCAGATTGCTCTTCCCTTTAAAAGGCTCTAGAGCTGGGACTGGCACTGTGGCATAGCAGGTAAAGCTGCTGCCTGAAGTGCCAGCATCCCACATGGGTGCCGGTTTGTGTCCTGGCTGCTCCACTTCTGATCCAGCTCCCTGCTAATATGCCTGGGAGAGCCATGGAGGATGGCCCAAGAGCTTGGACCCCTACACCCACGTGGCAGACCTGGAAGAAGCTCCAGGCTCCTAACTTTGGATCAGCCCAGCTCCGGCCATTGCGGCCATTTGGGGAATGAACCAGAGGATGGAAGACTTCTCTCCGTGTCTCTGCCTCTCTAATTCTGGCTTTCAAATAAACAAACAAATCTTAAAAAAAAAAAAAAAAAAAAAAAAAAAAAAGCTCTAGAGGCAGTGGAATACATAGGGTCACCCAAGGGGACATGGAGTTGGAGTTGGAGACTGAGACCAAAGGCCCAGAGTGGCCTCCCCAGAAGCCACAAAAGCCTTATAGTAGAACTACAGACCTGGAGCTGGTCACTGACTATGCAGAAGAGAAGGAGATCCAGGGTTCCAATTTATTTTTTTAAATATTTATTTATTTGAAAGGCAGAGTTACAGAGAGAGAGAGAGAGATCTTCTAACTGCTGCAACAGCCAAGGATGGGCCAGGCTCCAACAGCCAGGAACTTCTTCCAGGTCTCCCACATGAGTAGCAGGGGCTCAAACACTCGGGCCATCTTCTGCTGTTTTCCCAGGTGCATTAGCAGGGAGCTAGATCAGAAGTGGAGCAGCTGGGACATGAGCCAGCGCCCATATGGGATGCCAGCATCGCAGGTAGCAGCTTTACCCACTACACCACAACTCTGGCCCCGAGGGCTCCAATTTGGAGATGACCAGGTCCATCACTGGAGACAGACTATCTGGGAGCAGAAATCTGAACAGGCAGGAGAAGGAACTCGCAGAAGTCACAATCAAGAAGGAAGATTTGGAGCTGATATTGACAGAGAAGGAGACATCTCAGGCAGCAGCAAAAGCGAGTTTGCAGAAACACACGGGCAATATGCTAGAGGCTTTTATTGCCCAAACCAACTGATAAATGCTTTCCCATTCATACTTACCGGATTAATTTAATGCAATTTTTAAAAAATGATCTTAAAAAAAAAAAAGCTCCACTTCAAGAAACCCACACTTGGCTCAGTCCTGCTCTACTGGGTCTGCAAGAGGCTCAACTATCTTGCTGGCTGTGTCATGCCAAGCACACTGTAGGTACTCAATAAATGCTCTCCAGTGGTGGTGTCAGAAATTCTGTGACTCATAGCCTCTTTTCTCTTGTAGATATTTAAGAGCTGTGGGTTCCTTTTCTTCTCTGGATGGCGCTGGTGCTGATGTTGGAGCTAAATAAGAACCCTCCGCCCCAGTGAACCTAGAAAATGCAGGTATGTCATCATCCTGGACAGCAAAATTCATGCTACCATTGCTGACCCAGGACTGCCACTGTAAGTCTTTGCCGCATTTGTAATCCTGTCTGAGGAGAGAGGCTCTGGGGACAGAGATGACCACAGGCAAGGTTGTGTGTGTGCAACCTGAGTATATGGGAAATGGAGTTACTACAGTGGAACCTGAATTGAATGGCACTCCCAGAGCTCATAGGAGCTTGTCATCTGGGCCAGCCTGGCTTCACAGGACTGGAGAATCACCTATACCAAACGAAGGGACTGACTTCAAGGAACAGTGATATTTTCCTGCTTGTTCATGAAACTTTACCTGAGCAAGCTGAGTACATGGCTGTCACATCAAGGCAGTGCGTGTTTCCAATCTACCTCCTACTAAGAAGCACTTGCCCTGCTATACATAATTCCTCTTAAAAAAAAAAAGATACCACAAAATTGTAAATGTTATGCATATTTCCCACGATTTTTTTTTTTGACAGGCAGAGTGGACAGTGAGAGAGAGAGACAGAGAGAAAGGTCTTCCTTTGCCGTTGGTTCACCCTCTAATGGCCGCCGCAGCTGGCACGGTGCTGCTGGCGCACCGCACTGATCCGAAGCCAGGAGCCAGGTGCTTCTCCTGGTCTCCCACGTGGGTGCAGGGCCCAAGCACTTGGGCCATCCTCCACTGCACTCCCGGGCCAAGGCAGAGAGCTGGCCTGGAAGAGGGGCAACCGGGACAGAATCCGGCACCCCGACTGGGACTAGAACCCAGTGTGCCGGCGCCGCAGGCAGAGGATTAGCCTATTGAGCTGCGGCACCGGCCCCATTCCACAACTTTTAAAGAAGATACCAAACCAGGTTAAACATTGTATTCTCTCTCCTTTTGTCTCTGCCTATATATTCCTTGGTTTATTTTTTTGCCCAAGCCCTATAAGGCACATTATTGTATTTGATGTCCTCAACTTGTATGTAATGAATCATTATTAATTCCCTAAAACAGGTGTGTTGCAGGACTATTTTCCCCAGCTGTCTTATTCCAGGCTCTCATCCCCTCATAAGATAAGAATTCAAAGCAGAGATGTAAGTTAAGGGCAATTATGGGAGTAGGATTTACTTAAAGTGAGCATTCATCAGAGATGAGTACGGGCAACCCTATGAGGAGAGATACTTCTCATGAGAGGGCCAGCTAGAATGAGCCTCTCAGTTTAGGGATTTCGCCTTATTGGGTGATAGGGAAGGTGCCCTGACTGAATATGAGGTAGAGCTTGGTAAGGCGGAGTTTAGACAGGGTTCAGTGTGCATGATGTCCTCTGGGAAAGTTATAGCATCTCCATGTACAGATCGCTGTACACGTGCTCATAGTGGCTCACTCTTCATGCTGGAGAAGACTCTGGTGCGTCATGGCTAAGAGGGTGTACTGGATTGGCATGGAACTGGTGGAGTGAGGGTGCAAGGCTAGAAATAGAAACTGCAGGAAATCTACCAGCTCGTTGTTACCTAATTGTCTCTATGAAATCACATTATTAGTTTTTTTTTCTCTTTTCTAATTCTTTTGTTAAAGTATAGCACATTTATAGGAAAGTACACAGATAATAAGTATACATAAATATCTATAAATGTTCAAAAGGCAAACACCACCATGTAAGCAATGCCTAAATGAAAGAACAGATCATCGCTACTAATATGCTAAAAGTCCCCTCTTGAACCCTTCTAGTCACAAATCTCCCAGGTGCGATTGATTCCTATCTATGGAAAAACAGCAAGGTTAATTTTTCCTTTTTCATAATTTTTCTGTTTCATAAATTGACTCATAAGTATACACTCTTTGGTGTCTGGCTTTTCCTGCTTAACATTATATTTGTAGGGGACAGCACTGTGGTGCAGCAGGTTAATGCCCTGGCCTGAAGCGTCAGCATCCCATATGGGTGTCAGTTTGAGACCCAGCTGCTCCACTTCCATCCAGCTCTCTTCTTTGGCCTGGGAAAGCAGTGGAGGATGGCCCAAGTCCTTGGGCACCTGCACCCGCGTGGGAGACCAGGAGGAAGCTCCTGGCTCCTGGCTTCGGATCGGCACAGCTCTGGCCATTGTGGCCAATTGGGGAGTGAACCATCGGATCAAAGATCTCTCTCTCTCTCTCTGCCTCTCCTCTCTCTGTGTAACTCTTTCAAATAAATAAATAAATCTTTAAAAAACATTATGTTTGTGATATTCATTTATGTTATTGTGTACAGTTATAGATTATTTATTCCCATGATTTTATAATACTCCATTGTGTGAATTCACTAATTAATTTACCCATTTTATCATTGATGGACATTTGAATTGTTTCTAGTTTTTAATCTGTCATAAATAGTGCTATTTGCACATGTCTTTATGTATATGAACATAAGCATTTCTAGAAATGTGTTTATCATATATATATATATATTTCAGCTTTGGTGGATGTCATCAAACAGTTTTCCAAAGTGGTTGTATCAATTTACACTCTCCCCAGCAATATGTAAAAGTTCCAGTTACCACATACCCTCACCAACACTTAGTGTTATCTGTCTTTTTTGCTTAATGGATATGTAGAGATAGCCTACTGTACTTTTCATGTTTTTTCCTACTGATTGGTGAATTGAGTACCATTTCATATATTTACTAACCATTTCAGTAAATTAGTGACTTTTTTTTTGACAGGCAGAGTGGACAGTGAGAGAGAGAGAGACAGAGAGAAAGGTCTTCCTTTGCCGTTGGTTCACCCTCCAATGGCCGCCACTGCCAGCGCGCTGTGGCCGGCGCACCGCGCTGATCCAATGGCAGGAGCCAGGTACTTCTCCTGGTCTCCCATGGGGTGCAGGGCCCAAGCACTTGGGCCATCCTCCACTGCACTCCCTGGCCACAGCAGAGAGCTGGCCTGGAAAAGGGGCAACTGGGACAGAATCCGGTGCCCCGACCGGGAAATTAGTGACTTTTAAAAAAAAATTTTTTTATTTTATTTATTACCTTGAAAGTCAGAGTTACAGAGAGGCAGAGGCAGAGAGAGAGAGAGAGAGAGAGAGAGAGAGAGAGAGAGAGAAAGTCTTTCACCTGCTGGTTCACTTCCCAAATGTTTGCAATGGCCAGAGCTGAACCAATCCAAAGCCAAGAGCCAGGAACTTTTTCTGCATCTCCTACACAGGTGCAGGGGCCCAAAGACTTGGGCCATCTTCCACTGCTTTCCCAGGCCATAGCAGAGAGCTGGATCATAAATGGAGCAGCTGGGACTCGAACCAGTGTGCCTATGGGATGCCGGCACTGCAGGTGGCTGCTTTACCCACTATGCCACAGTGCTGGCCCCAAACTAGGGACTTTTGAAAGGATTTTTCCCTCTGGTTATTTAAAGTAATGCATGGTAATTAAAGAGGGTTTCCCAAACAGAAAAGGGTCACGGTGGTTTTGCACTTTGTTAAAGTAACTAAACTGGAACTGTTTTTCAGAATTCTTTTGCCTGTATGGTTCTGGGTTAACATTGGCCACAAGAAAATCTGCACACAGTTTGAAGGGCAGAAGTGAAGCAGCTTCATCTATGCTCACAGGGTTGGTGTAGGTCAAACACTGTTGTAAATCACTCAGTGTTTCATATTGCCTGGCCCACCTTGTCACCATGGGACAGTAGTTGGGCCCACAGATCCTTCAGCTGCCACCAGATCTCCTCCTTTAGCTTTTGCAACTCCTGAGCCAAGTATGTGTTTAGCTTCATGACAAAGATCCAGCAATTTCTTCAGGTCACTTGCATAATTAAAGTAGGAGCTTTTTGGCTGGCACCGTGGCTCAATAGGCTAATCCCCCGCCTGCGGTGCCAGCACCCTGGGTTCTAGTCCTGGTTGGAGCGCCGGTTCTGTCCCTGTTGCTCCTCTTCCAGTCTAGCTCTCTGCTGCGGCCCGGGAAGGCAGTGGAGGATGGCCCAAGTGCTTGGGCCCTGCACCCACATGGGAGACCAGGAGGAAGTACCCAGGTCGGCACAGCTCCGGCCATTGCGGTCATTTGGGGGGTGAACCAATGGAGGAAGACCTTTCTCTCTGTCTCTGTCTCTCTCACTAACTCTGCCTGTCAAAAAAAAGAAGTAGGAGCTTCCAGAGGCAGTGAGAGACTGATGCAAGCTCCATTTCGTCCTTATCCATCCCCTCTTGTCCTTTGGAGTTGGTTCTTACTCTCTCATACTTCACCACTGTCTGTTCTCCCTGACTTCAGGTCCTACCCCAGAAGCAGAAGCAACAGTTGTACACAAGTTGTTTAACCATTCCCAAAATTGCATAACACAAGCCCCTTTAATGAACCTCTTACTCTTTGTCAATACTAGTAGTTCTGCTTCTCTGATGAAACCCTCACTGATAACAGGCATTAAGAAAGAAACCACGTTTTTTCATAATCCTACCCCAAGAGAGGACCATAGTCCACCTCTGAGCATGCACTCTTTCTGCCTGCAATATTTTAATTGAAGAAAGAGAGCTCAGGACAGGGTAAGTGACAGCTCAGGGTTTGATCGGCGTACCACAAAGCTGGGCCTTGGAAGGCTGATTTCAGGCCTGCAAGGCTGTTGTTTCTCCTGTGCCTCAGAATCCACAAGCGACCCTTTAGTCCTCTGACCCCCTCGGGGCCTTCTTATTCTGAGCACCATCTCTGTGGCACGCAAGAGCCC